GTCTATGGTGTTGGTTATTGTTTTTACTATTAATCTTTGGTGTTCTTCAATTAGAGCACGGACATGATTAACTGTTTCCTTGCAAACTGATGTGGATGCTCTGTCCCTGCAGGCTTCATCTTCAACACGGTCTCACCCTTTCTTAAAATGAGTTACACATTTGTAAACTGCTGATTTCTTTGGGGCATTGTCCCATAAACTTTTTGTAAAGCACCAGTGATTTCATCATTCTTCCACCCAAGGTTCACTTTAAATTAGATGTTTGTTCTTGCTTCAATTTTAGTAGAATTCATGTTGTTCTGAATGGGGATCTTTTACAATTGAAGTCTTATCTTTCTTAGTGCCTCAAGCTAGATCCTGTTCAGACATGTTATAACAGGTTAGTATGAGTTTGTTGTTGTTATGTGCCATCAAGTCAGTTCAGAGTCACAGCGACCCTGTATCAGGTTTCCAAGGAGCAGTCCAATGCTTTATCTCACATAATCACACCAGGACTCTAGGTGTGAAGATTTAATTTTTTTAAATTCATGCATAGCTTTTTCATAACATGCATTTCCCAAGAACTTTTTGAAGACCACCATATGCAAATCTCTTAGAAAACCACAACTCATGAAGCATTTGACCTGATCCTCTGGTTTTTACAAATCAGTCTTTCCCAGAGTGACAACTTTCAGAACTCCATATGAAATTTGACAACTCAAGGGGAATGGTTTTGGCTTACTTTATGTAGCCCAGTAACCCGATCTCATAAGAGCTAGCATGTCACCCACAATCTTGGAGCATTTGTATTCATACAGAAGGGAGTTAGGGTTAAAGCACTTTCTTGACTCTAATATTTTGATTATTTCTACATATGCTAGCTGTGGCTACTGGAAAAAGTCACTTGTTGGACCTCTATGTCTGCACTGACTACACTTTCCATTCCCTGTTCAAATAGGAGTAACCAGTGGGAATCCTATCTGCCAAATGACCTAACAGAGAACTGCTGAACGGAACTGACTGACTGACAGTGGGTTTAGTAATTTTTGGTAACAAGAAGTAGAGATAGGGGACAGTAATGAAAAGAAAGAATAAAACCTTGTTGCACACCTTTCTTAATTTTAAAACATTCAATGTTCCCATGTTCTGTTCAAACAACTGCCTCTTGGTCCAGGTACAGATTCCTCATGAGCACAATTAAGTGTACTGGAATACTCATACTTTGCAATGTTGTGCATAGCTTGTCATGATCCACACAATTGAAAGTCTCTGCGTAGTCAATAAAGCACAGGCAAACATGTTTCTGATAATCTCTGCTTTCAGCCAAGATCCAGCGGACATCAGCAATGATATCTCTTGTCCCACATCCTCTTCTGAATCTGGCTTGAACCTCTGGAAGTTCTCTGTCAATGTATGCTTGCAGCCATTTCTGTATTACCTTTAGCAAAACTTTATTCGCATGGGATAGCAAAGATATCATCTGATGAGTTCCGTATTCCATTGGGTCACACCTCTTTGGAATGGGTACAAATACGGATCTCTTCCAATCAGCTGACCAGATAATTGTCTTCCAAATTTCTTGGTAGAGATGAGTGAGTGCCTCCTGTGCCGCCTTACTTTCTTGAAATATTTCAATTTTGATTCCATCAATTCCTGGTGCCTTGTTCTTTGCCAATTTCTTCAATGCACTTTGGATTTCCTCCTTCAATATCATTGGCTTTTGATCATATGCTACCTCTTGAAACAGTTGAACATTAACCGTTTCCTTTTGGTACAGTGACTCAGTGTATTCCTCCTATCTTCTTTTGATGCTTTATGCATCATTCAATAATATCCCTGGAAAATCTTTCAATAATGAAAGTCAAAGCTTGAATTTTTTTCAGTTCCCCTAGCTTGAGAAATGCTGAGCATGTTCTTCCTTTCTCGTTTTCTGATTCCAGTTCTTTGCTCATTTTCTTATAATATCTGGCTTTATCTTCTCGAGCTGACCTTTGAAATTTTCTGTTCAGCTCTTGGACCTCCTCATTTCTTCCATTTGCTTTAGTATCTTTACGCTGGAAAGCAAGTTTCAGTGTCTATTCTGACATCCATTTTGACCTTTTCCTTCTTTTCTTAATGACTTTTTGCTTTCTTCATGTATGATATTCTTGATGTCATCTCACAACTCTTCTGGTCTTTGGTCTTTAGTGT